CCGGGAAGAGCGCAATGATGGTGCCAACTTGGGCCAGTGAAGCAACGTCCTCCACAACTAGACTGAAGAACAACAACAACAACTTGTCTGTTCCCCTTCCCCCAATTCCCCAGCACTGTTCCCATCTCCCCAATTCCCCAATAAAAATAAAAATAAATCTTTAAAAAAAAAAAAAAAAAGCAATGAATGGATGAGCATCTGAGCTGCCATTCTCCCAAATGGGCAAACGACATTTAGCCCTATAAGTGATGCTACCCTCTTTACCACTGGTACAAATCCTCCTTTTCCTTCAAGCCTCAGCCCAAGCTCCTTCAGGAAGCCTTCTTGGTATACTCTAACCTCCACAGATCGCTCCTTTCTTTGACCTTCTAGCATATCACTTGGCACCCTCTGAGGTTTTAATACTATTTTCAAGTTGTTTTCGTATGTGTAACTACCAAAGTTGTAAGTTATTCAAGGACAAAAATCTGTGTTTAATTACTTTTTTAATACCCCTTACACACATAATTTAGCTCTGTGACAAAGACATAATAGCTATTCAATAAATATTTTCTGATTTCCAAACTCGCCTGACCAGCCGGCTTGAGGACACAACAAGAAGACTGTAGGTGCCCCACTGCGAGTCCTTCTCGCACAGCACCCTGCGCTTTTCCTTTAGAGCACTGGACACAGGCTGTAATTACATATTAATCTGTATGGTTTGTGTTTAATGTCAGCCTCCTCATTATACTGTAAGGTCCAAGAGGCCAGGAAGTTTGTGTGTTCTGTTCATCACTATATACTTAAGATCCATCACAGTGCCTAGCAGGGTTCAAAAAATATCTGCTGTTGGATGGACGTTAGATGGACAGACAGGTGGATAATGGAAAAAGAAAAATGATCTCAAAGTGATCTGTAAAGAAAGCAGAAACTTAAATTATAGGGACATCAACATTTGAGAAATGAACCTGCTTACATTTCTAAAAAGGTCATGTGGTGTTATGTCACAGGCTTATTAAAACCTCCTTTCCTCAGAAAGAGCTAGAATAGCTAGGCCTGCGGCCCCATCCTATCTAGGATCTAAGACCTCAGTGACCATTTCATGGGGATGGTGCCATTATTTTTCCTTGTTATATAAATTGCTAAAATACAAAAACCATTGTTTCAAGAAGACAGAGGAAATCTACCAGCTAGTGAATAGGCTCAAAGGCATTCAAGGACCAAGCAAGCTCCCAAGAGCATTTCATGCACCACTTCAGAGTGACAGCTCTGAAGCACACAGCATAGTCCAACTTAATTGGCTCAGAATCAGCAACATGAGATGTCTCGGTGCTGACAGTCATAAATTGCTGTGGCAAACTAGGCTGTACGATCCTGCTCTTTTTGCAGTTAGATCAATATATACTATGAAATACTGAGGAAGAGAAATGTAAAAAAAAATCAGCATAATACTGGAAACCTCACAGCCTGCTAATTAATTGAAAGGCCTGACATTTATATAATGCTTTAGAATTGCAAAACACTTTCATATTTCTGCTCTCATTTAATCCTTACAACATTCCCACATAGCAGATAAAATATTAGTATCTCTTTTTTACTGTTACGGAAATTTGGGAATCAGAGAGGAACAACCAACAAGTAGCCAAGATTAAATGCATGTGCCTTCTGACCTCAGGCTCATTTCACTACACTTTGCACACCTTCAAATGAACTGCACCTTTTTAGTTCTTAAACCAACTGGTTTCTTTCTTTCTCAGCATATGATCACGCAAAGAATGCCAATTTATGGGAAATTAGTATAATTTACAGGAAATGGAAAACCACTGAAGGCATTCCCTGATGATCTTCTCCTTGCCTCCACCTACACCAGAGGAGTGCTCAGTGGGCAAACGGGAAATGAAGCAGCAGCAGGGATCAACAGGAGCGACCGGATGCACAATGAAATAACCTCAGAATCTGATCTCTCTAGGAAGCTCTGCTTAACTTGCAAAGAAGCTTCTTCTGGTCAGGGACCAGCCCAGCTAGAGAAAGCAATCCAAAACAATGACTAGTATCACATTTCTAATATAGCAAAAAAAATGTTTAAAGCTTGACACAGGCCATTGGGGAAAGTCGTGTTTCCAGGATCTAAAATTTGGCCTGATCTTTCTCGAAACAATGAGTCCCCTGAGTCTATCCCTCACTTCGCAGTTGAGGTCAATCCGTCATTACCTTTCATCCAGTCAACCACCAGTCAACCAAAAGAGCCTTCTAACATGTTTCTATGCCTCCAACTTTCCCTCCTTTCAGTCCATCTCTCACACTATCACCAACGTAATCTTCAGATGGCATTTCCCCCTAAAATCTTTCTTGGTTCCTCCCACCCTAGCCCTTTTGGAATTACCCCTTCCTCCTATGCTCAGGTAGCACTCCTCTGAACTACAGCATATCTCCCCATGTATAATAAAACTCCCCAAGGCAGGGCTTGTCTGCACCTAGTCTAAAGTCTTAGATATAGAATGTGTTCAATAAATGTTTATCAAATTGATCCAGTTATGCTTTATCTCTGCCTTTAAAATCTATTTGTTAGGGAAGCAGGATATTCAGTGGGGAACAGCAAGTATGTTCTCTGGGAAAAGCACTCCTATTTTATGGTCTCCCAATGTGTCACCTGCTCCCACTGGCTTTAGAAAACGCCGAATACAGAGGGGCCTGGAGGAGCAATACTCAGCCACATCACTTATGTGATTGTATGATCACCTCCAGTCACTCTGCTTATCACAAGGCATATGGGAAGGTGACCAACACCTTTTTCTCGTTCCTCAAAAGATTTCAAATCTTTTTCAGTGAGAAGTGCACAAACGTCAAGTTTCTTCTCCTTGTTCCAAGGGCACTAAGTTTCCCTTTGTTATCAGAATCTGCTGTCCCCTCAGAGCTGGTAGTCTTTCCAGGCCCAGATCTCATATTGTCATAGTTTTCTCAACTCCAAAATAAAGGCACAAGAGACCTACCCCAAGTACTATATCAAATGACAAGCCAGGCACCAAAGAACATGAGTTATGCAGAGAACCTTCACTGCTGCTTCTTTTTCAGCTCTCTGCTCTTACTACTCCAATTCTGACAATGTTTCAAATATCAATCCATCCATGCCCCTACCACTTTGCATGGTCTCCCACTCTGCCAATGCCTTTCCCCCTCTCTCCTTACTCAACTTAAGGCCAAACAATCATATCACTTTCCTGCATAAACCCTCTAAACAACAAGGTTGCAGGTTCGAATCCCGCACAGGATGGTGGCCGCGCTTCCCGCAACTAGATTGAAAACAGCGACTGGAATTGGAGCTGAGCTGCGCCCTCCACAACTAAAATTGAAGGAGAACAACTTGACTTGGAGTTGATGGTCCTGGGATAAACACAGTTCCCCAATAAAGTTAAAAAAAAAAAATCAAAGTCACATTTGACATTTGCAAATTACAAGAGGTGCTCAAAGTGGTTACCATCAGCGTCCAGAAACTTCTGATTATGGTGAACTACTGCTTGATCAATGTTGACCAAAGTGTCCACTTGTATGCATTTTTTTTAGCACCCCCAGTATAAATATATCAAACCAACACGTTACACACCTTAAACTTACACAAGCTATATGTCAATTATATCTCAATTTTTAAAAATACAATGACAATGGTTGCACAACATTGTAAATGTAATTTATGCCACTGAATTTTAAGTTGTTAAAATGGCAAATTTTATGTAATATACATGATATCATAATAAAAAAATTTTTAAGGACAAAAACCTATTCTAGTCATCACTTACCCTGCACCCTTTACAGTTATAGCCCTATTTCTCTATTTCCCTTTATTGCAAAACTCTTCAAAAGATTTGTCTATATTTGCCTTCTGTTTTTGCTTTGACCCCTCTAATCTCTCAAGCCCCTATGCCCCTACCACTGCACCAAAATTGCTTTTATCAGCTGCCAAATCCAATAGGCAGTTGTTATTCTTCATCTTACTTATCAGCAGCTTCTGATTACTCCCTCCTCCTGAAAACCTTTTCTTTTCTGTTTCTGAGTCCCAGGCTTGCCTCTCAAGACCTGTTCCTCTACCTTTTGCTCTATGCCTGACATCTTGAATCTTGGGCTATGCCCATCAGGCCTCCCTGAACCTCTTTAATTTCAACTGTCTGTTTACCTGGACCTCTGCCCACAGACAACCTGACCACTCCAACTCATCCCCTATTATCCCTTCTCCTGAATGTCCTGACTTCCATCTTATCATTAATTCTGAGACCGCTCTAAAAAGCCAGCCAAGCCCTGGTCTATTTGGTCTCTCTATTTAAGATTTAGTAAGGCATATCCCATCCCTGGCTGAGCCTTGAGCCCCAAAATAACAGCTACAAACTTCTAGCTCCTTAAAAGACATAGTCAATCTTTCTAACAGTGTTAGAACATTCTCAGTTAATATAGCTGAAGTTGGTTGCCAAAAATAATCAATGTCAAACACTTATTTGCATTCTCTTCAGTAAATTTATCTGCTTTACTTAAGATTTTTTTATTTGGATGGTACCAGAATACACTTTACATTCTGGTGCCAAGAAGAAGGGCACACTCAGATTTCTCAGGAAACTGGACAAGGATAGAAGATGTGTTTGGGCCCAAATAAAAATAAAATAAAATGATGGCTTCTAGAGTCAGCCCAGGACTGGAAGCTATTCAATCCTAGATTCCAATTTTCACCATTACTAATCCTAGTATCTCTGTTAGGATTACAGCCACATACCTAGAAGCATCAAGGAATGGTTTGTAGGCCAAGCTGATCCATTCTTCTTTATTGGATGAATATTTCGGCTCCCGGGGTGTTTCTCTCATGGTGTCCAAATCCACTAAATAATGGCATTTAGTGATGTCAATCTGCAATGGAGAAAGGCCAACTCTTCATCAGTAATTGCAAAGGTCCTTTCAGGGTGAGGAACATCAATTGCAATCCTAAGCATTTCCACAGGGTTTCAGAAACACAAACATCCAAGCCCTCTGAAGATGTTACCTGTGTACTCTACACTCAGCTAAGAGTGTTGGGTGTTGGGATATTATTTAGGCTCCTAGGGGTCAGAGGGAGACAATGCACTCACCCACCTAAATATGTATGCAAGCTTTGGAAGTTTTCACTCTAGTTTGGGTATTAAGTCCCTCTAGCCTTACAGACACTTCTGAAGCTAGTGTGAGCCCACAACCTACCTAAAAAAATATCTTCTGCTCACTACCGAACTCTTCCAGTCTATCACCTCTTACTCCAGAGATTGAAAGGGCATGACTAAACATAAATGCTAACGTGTGAGGGAGCCTCATCTCTGCTGACAGAACCATGTGAGGGTTACCCTACACCTCGCAAATGGTACAGAAATATATGTATCGTTTCCTTCAAAAATTCAATGGAACCAACAGAGACATGCGAACTGTTCCTGCAGCAAAAGATCAATAAAACTGAGATGTCAGAACTATAAGAGTGGAGAAGATTATGAAAAATATACATACTAACTACAAGCAAAACTATAGTCATTCAGTTGTTCACAACATGGATACAACAGAACATCACGGGTACTCATAAGAAAATAATATATTTCATTTAAAATCATGTTGGTATCATGTTTCTCACAAAATTAATTGAATGGTGCATGCTACAAAATCTGGAGGATACTTCTGTAGTTAAATAGATCATTTCAAACAATAATTACATTCTCTCATCTCGAAGCCATCAGAATATTTGACAGCCACAGGAAAATTCTTTTCTTTTTCCTAAAGATTTTATTGGGGGATTGAAAGAGGAAACAGCACTGGGGGATAGGAAAGGGGAACAGACAAGTTGCTGTCCTTTTTGTTCTTCAGTCTAGTTGTGGAGGACGTCGCTTCACTGGCCCATGTTGGTATTGTGATCATTGCGCTCTTCCCGGGTGAGGCAGATCAGTCAACAGCCATTAGAGAGCAGCTCACAATGGCTCACGGCAGCTCACGCCTGCTGCTGGCCGCTCATGCTGGCTGCCGGCCACTCACAGTAGCTTACTGCAGCCCACTGCAGCCCCACTGTAGCCTACGTCGTCACCAGTGACTCACAGCAGCCCAGTTTCAGGTCAAGCTGTTGTTCACCATCTTAGCTGTAGAGGGCGCAGCATCACTGGCCCATGTGAGATCCGAACCAGCGGCCCTGCTGCTCAGAGCTCGAACTCCCAAGCCAACTCTTAACCAACGAGCCACACAGCCGGCCCCCCACGGGGAAATTCTTAAGCCTTTTTAATTTTCAAAAAAATGGTTTTTTGATTTTTATTTTTTTAATAAAAAAATTGCATTTACTTAAAAGCATTCAGAATGTCAACAAAACAGCTGCAACTTTTTTGCAATTACAGAGTGGTATTCAGTTAACAGAACAACAATGATTTTGTATGAGCTGCATCAAAAAAATTTATTTTTTTTAAATAAAGAATACAGATAACACATACGTTTCTATGAGGTTAAATAAAAACTCAATGATGGGAAATAGCTCTGTGATACTGTGATTTATAATAAATATATATTTTGGTCTTTGTCCACGGTTTGTGGATCACAGTTCCCTAAACCCTTGTTATTTCCTAATCGACAAGAGCAATGGGAGCATCTTTTGTTACAATATTTGGTCTCTAGTCCTCAGTTCCTAAAATTCCTGCAAAGCCATAAGATGAACGGGATATTTTGTTATTCATAACAAGCCCTTTTTCAACTACTACTGAGTTTATGAAACTAGGGTAACTTTTAGAAAGCACCTAAAGATGCGGGGGAAGGCTGGTCGCCAAACGAACTAATCACATAATTAGAAGGTTGGAATTTTCAGTCCCACCCCTGAACTCCAGGGAATAAAGAGCCTGGAGATTGAGTTGAATAACCAATGGCCAACGATTTAATAATGCCTGTGTAATGAAGCCTCCATAAAAACTCAAAAGGACCAATTCAGAAAACTTCCGGGTTGGTGAACACCTGAAGATTCAGGGAGAGTGGCATGCTGGAAGAGAGCATGGAAGATTTGTACCCTTTCCCCAAATCTTGTGCTATGCATCTCTTCCATCTGGCTATTCCTGAGCTATATCCTTTTATAATAATAAACTGGTAATCTACTAAGCAAAATAAAATGTTTCTCTGAGTTCTGTGAACTACTTTAGTAAATTAATCAAACCCAAGGAGGGGGTCATGGGAATCTCTGATTTACAGCCAGTAGGTCAGAAGTACAGATAACAACCTGGATTTGAGACTGATGTCTGAGTGTATATGTAGATGTGTGGGTGGGGGGCAGTCTTGTAAGATTGAGCCCCCAACCTGTGGAATCTGGTGCTATCAGCAGGTAGATAGTGTCAGAATTGAGTTGAATTATAGGACACCCAGTTGGTATCTGAGAATTGTTACTGTGTGGAAACCCACCCACAAATTGGAAATTAAGCCCAGAACCCTCTTAATCACTAACATAGTCAGCTAAAGAAAAGTAAATCTGAAGGAAAGGAAACTATTATTTTTCGCTCTTATTTTAGAATGCTAACTTTGTTACTTACATATACAGTAGGTCCTCACTTAATGTCGGCAATAAGTTCTGCGACTTGAAGCAAAACGATGTGTCACAAAACCAATTTTACTATAGGCTAACTGATATAAACATGAGTTGAAGTTCCTACAGCATCTCATCAATGTTATAACAAAACAATGTTGAAGAAAATGACATTATTCGAGGACCTGATGTATTATTTTTTTAAATCATCATATCAAGGCCTATAAGGGATTATTAAGCCCCATTTTATAAATGAGGAAGCCAAGACCGAGACAAGTTAAATAACTTCATTTTTTTCAAGATAACATATATTAAGCCCTACAATGTACTAGGCATTAAGTTACAGCTAATGATACAGAATCAAATAAATAAGCCGCAGTTCTTTCCCTAAAAGGATTTATTTACAGTACTAGCCAAAATCACATCCGTATAGAGCAGAGCCGTATTTGGACCCAGGTCAGTGTGACTTCAAAAGTCGTACATCGAGACTGCCAAAAATGACTGAATCAGAGGCAAAGTGCCCCCAGGAGCTCATCTAAATGTTTCTTAAAAATTAAAACCAAAAATGAGGCCTCCTAGAAAGTCAGGTTTCAGCTAAGATAAAGACCATTTTAAATATGACTAGATCTATAGCAAATCTCATATTTAATAGTAAAGGGTTGAAAGCTTTTTCTTTGGGATCAGGAAAAAGTCAAGGCTGCTTATTATTACTACTCTATTCAACATTGTATTAGAGGTCCTAGTAAACAGGGTAAGATAAGAGAAAAAAAACAAATGGCCTAAGAAATGGAAAGAAAGAAACAAAACTCATTCATCACAATGATATGACTGCTATACATAAAATCCAAAAGAACTGACAGGTAAATTTTTAGAATTAAGAGTTTATAAAATTTTAGATTTACAGGATATAAAATCAGTGTCATATATTCCTATACAACAGCAATAAACAATATGTAAAATTATGTTTTTTTAAATTATGTATTTTCAAAGTATATTACAAAAATATAATTTATAAGTATTTAAAGCATATGCCTTGGAATAAATCTAACAAAAATGGGGGAAGTTCTCTAAAAAATTATAGAATTTTATTGATGTTTATTATAATGTGGTTATTCATATAAATAAAATGAATATATTCATATATATGCAATGGAATATTATTCAGTCTTAAAAAGGATACATACTACAATATAAACCTCAAAAACATTATGCTAAGTGAAAGAAGCCTGACACAAAAGATCACATATTATATGATTTCATTCATCTGAAATGCCCACACTAGGCAAATCTATTGAGACAGAAAGCAGGTTAGTGGTTGCTAAGAATTAGGGAAGTGACTGCTTTATGAGTATGGGTTTTTTTTGGGGGGAGGAGGTGAATAAAATGTTCTAAAATTAGATGGTGGTGATGGTTGCCCAAGATTATGAATGTACTAAAAGCCCCTTAGTAGTACGCTTTAAAATCACTGATTACTATAAAATCCAACAACTCATTTTCTAGGACACACACACACACACACACACACACACACACACACACACACATAAAAGAATTTAAAGCAGACCTGATCACTTCTCAGCTTTTTGGCTAAGATCAAGTGAGAGCAGACCTGAAAACAGATATTTGAATCCCAATGTTCATAGCAGCATTATCTACCATAGACAAAATGTGGAAAAAACCCAAATGTCCATCAGAAGATGAATGGATAAACAAAAAGTTTGTTTAAGGAGCACTGAGTTTCAGGTTGGATGATGAAAAGTTCTGGAGATGTGGTGATGGTTGTATAACAGTGCAAATATAATTAACACCACTAAACTGTATACCTAAAAATGGTTAAAATGGTAAATTTTATCACAAATTGTTGAAATGATGAATTTTATCTCAAAAAATTTTGACTGATGATAAAGTAAACCTTATTAAATGGAGAGGTAAACCTTATTCCTAGATTAAATAAAAGACTATTATAAAGATGTAAGTTCTAAATAAATTGATAGATTAAATACAATCTTAAAAATCCCAACAGACTTTTTTTTGGGAAACTTAAGCTGATTCCAAAACATACATGGAAATGCAAGACAAGGATTGCCAAGGTACTCTTAGAAAAGAAGATCAAGTTGGGGGCTTCCTTACTATAAAGTTAGCATAAGTAAGACAATGAGGTATTAGTGCAGGAATAGATCTAGAGACCAATGAACAGAATAGAGCCTAGAACAGATGTAGGCACATATGGACACTGATTTAGGACACAAGTGACACCTCCGAGAAGGTGGGGAAAAGACGGTCTCTTCACTAACTGGTGCTAGGAAACTGGATATTTATTGGGGGGAAAATGAAATGAAACCTCACTCCA